TTAAATAATTATATGTGCTATGAAGTCCCCGAACAAATATTGTCGTTATGTTTTCTCGTATGATACCGTAGTTTGTAAACTTCTTTAATTGAACACCCAAAACTCTATAATTGATAAAAAAAGAGGTACAATAAAATTTGCTCTAATCTATACAATAAACAAAAGCCAAATAAAAAAAACTATCCCACCATTCAAAAATTTCTGCACGGAGAGTAACTTTCGGAAACCCATTTTGGGAATTTCCTTCCCTCCATTTTTTTAACTTGGCCCAACCGCACTTGTCGTTTTTCTTTTTCTATTTGGGCCCAACCTCCTTTTTTATGGTCTCCCAACCGTCATTTGGTGAAGCTATAAACTTAATTTATAGCTTTTTTTATGGAATCTTAATTTATAGCTTTGGTAGTGAATATCTCTATATTATTATACAAAGTGGGCATTTTAAAATATCAATGTTAATTAGGCTTTGCCTCTTTTTCATTTTTATTAACCTAAGACCAAGATTTCAATCTGTGGGTTGATCCCGCTTTGATTCTGACCCGGTGAGAAAAATGGGTCGCACATTTCCGTCGGGTCGACCTTTGTAAGATATTGGGTTGGAAGTCAAATTGTTTCGTTTTTTCCTTTGATTTACAAAATGCGTCTATTTTCCTGTTTCCCTTTTTTGCTTAACCCAATCTTTGGAATTCTAAGTTGCACATTTGAATATTCATGTTATATAAGTGTGTTTGAATTATAAATTGACGATTGTTTTTTAGTTGAAAAATGTATCAGGTTAGTGAGAGAAAAATATGATTAACATATCTAGGGATGTCAAACGGAAGGGTTTACCTAAACCATCTACATCTCCATTTCCAAATATTTAAACTCATACCTATGTGGGGAATGACTTACAAGCCCATCCCCGTACCTGCGGGTTTCAGATACACATGGGTTATACACGCCCATAAATCCATAAGCTACTCACCATTAATAGTAATAAAAAATATGCGAGAAGGACTACCTTTTATTGATTGAATTCGAAGCATAATAGGATAGAAATAAATTATGCAGATTGAAATCGAATTGAAGAAGAAGCGTGAAATAACATTGAGAAAGAAATATGAGATATGACAATGGAAGGAAAGAAAGAAAACTAGAAAGGGAAAAGGAGAAAAAGAAAGAGGAAAGTGATTGAGAATTAAATTTTCAATTTCGAGAGGAAAGATGTAAAAGTACTAATAACGACAATTCAATCCCAGTGATTGAATAAATATTAATTCATCATTGGACAAAAATTTACCATAACAATTTTGTAAATCATGTAGAATCAATAAAATCTTTCATATATCCGGGCGAAGTCTGGCTAAACTGAGTTTATCCAATTTGACCATTAACCATTAATCCATTTGCTTCAATGAGTCAACAATTTAAATTTTGTTGACAACCTTGGTAATAAATTACAGTACATAAATTTGTTGCATATATTTATATCTAGAAAACATATAAGAGTGAAGTTGGCACTCTTGCTTTAGAGTACTAAAATGCGAACTTGGAAGAATTCAAAAATCATTACTGAACTATTATATTGTGAAGGGTGATTATGCAGGAAAAATTGCAAATTAATATATTCAGCCGAAAGGAAACGAGTGGTTGTTTTACTAGAAATAGCGTGCATATGCTAGGTGAGAGTAACAATGGAAAATAATTGACGACAACAGAAGGTCACTGTTGGGTTCAAAATCAACATGCAGATGACATGCTAATCGCGAGCGATATACTACTATACAGTAGAATCCGGGCTTTTTATAAGCATTGTGAACTCAACCGGAGTAATAAGAGAGATAAATTCGAAGAGATTACTATGGTGACCACTTATCTACAAATTGTTTCGACGAATACGAGAAATATATGTATTAGAATATTGAAACTTTGGAGATGATAGGCTTTTTGAATGAAGTGAATGAACGGTTGACGAACGAAGACTATAAAAAATTAGAAGATGATGAGAAACATCAATATCATGGGGTGTAGTACCGGGGTGCCATTTAGGAAAAAATTGCGATTGGAGTAGGAGGGGATACATGTACCTTTTTTATATAAATAAAATTAAAAACACAAAACAAATTTAGATAATTTTATACATAAAATCGATAACAAATTGTTTCAATATGTTAATAAAATTGTTATTTTCTTCTTGGCCTGGATATATTTTTAATTTAAAATATAAAGAGATGTTTGAGTATTTTGCATGAAAATATGTATTTAATTATTATTTAATAAAGATAATAAAAATAAATAATTTATTAACATTTTAAATATATAATTATATGAGAATAGACGTTCTCTCACTCTCGCTCTACGTGTCGACAGATCTAAAATAATTCGGCCAACGGGCCGAGTCAACAACTAGTTAATAGATAGTCATCATCCGGAAGTCCAATTGAACATCCATCGTCATCATCTGTTCATCATAACTTCCGCAATAGCTAACCGCACTTCATCATCAAAACCAAACAACAATCAAAACCTAAACCCTCAAGGTGATCTAAATTTAATCCGTAAAATTCATGTTTTAGGTTTTCTGATTATGCAGAATTGTGCTTGCTCCCCTCGTCCAACCCAAGACTCGACCTCATCATCGGCTGTAGACCGGTCATCAACTCCAGCGCATCTTCGTCCCTGTTTCCGACCTGCATCGACGAGTTGCTCGGTTGAAGTTTCTGGGAAACCTGGTGGATTTGGGGTCTACGCATCTGCTCGACTTGCCCGGCGGCGAAGGGGTGGTCGTTTCCCTATTCTTCTTTCTTCCCCTGGGTTGTGTTAGGCGAAGATGCTTTACCCGGAAGATACAGTGTTAGTCAAATATCGCTTTTCCTTCTCCGAATTTTGGGTTTCTGTTTTCGGTTCTCTGATTTCCTTTTTGTTTTTGCAGTATACTGAAATTCTTGTTATTCCTTGTTCAATCTGTCTGCAGTTTATGCAGTGGTTGGAGGGATTGAGGACCCTTCTAATTCTTGTATGTTTTCCGGTTTTGGTGGTTGTTGTATGACTGCTAGTGCTTTTTCCGTTGACGGGAGACCATCAGCCAGAGAACTAAGTTTACAGGGGAGGGATTTTAAGAAGGAAAAGAGGAGACACCATAGCTAGAAGAGGGATTAGGTGTAGGGCTGGTATTCGGTAAACCGGTATTCGGTAAACCGGTATTCGGTATACCGGGTATCGAACCGATTATAATCGGTATTCGGTATACCGAATACCGTCGGTATCGGTATTCGGCTGCACTTCTTGACCAAACGGTATACCGAATACCGACCAGTCATATACCGACGGTAAATCGGTATACCGAATACCGAATAACAAAAATAAAAAAAGGAAACGACAGCATTTGAAATTGGGAGGGGGGGGGGGCGTGTAAACCCTAAAATTAAATCAACATCTGCGCAACCCAGCACATCGGCCCCTCCACCTTTCCTCTGTTCGACTTCAACTCTTCTTCTCCAGCCCGCCGAGGCGAATTCCAGCGCCAACACAGCACGCCCCGGCGGTCTTCCCCCAGGACATTCATCCCGCCCTTTCTTTATTGGCCGCAAATCCCTTTCCACCAACCGCCGCCACCACTACTATCTAATCCTTTGCCTAAACTCAAATTCTCCTTATCACCAAGGGGATGCTTTGAGCGTCAGTCAGTTCCAATGCTTCAAGTTCCAAGTATTCACAATAAACTTCAATTGGATTCCAATTAGTTAATCTCCAATGCTATCGTCAGTTTCTTTATCTCGAATTCTAATGGTATAATCTCAATGCATTAATCGGTATTCGGTATACCGGTATTAATACCGGATACCGAGTATTCGGTATCCGGTATACCGGATAACATTCGGTATCGGTATTCGGTGGGTACACAATGTTATCCGGTATACCGGATACCGACTATTCGGTATCCGGTATACCGGATACCGACCGATTACCAGCCCTAATTAGGTGGGTACGGGGGATTCCTTTGACAACTCTTACTAGCAAAGCTCACTCCCGAGCCTTTTTACCTCAATTCCCAGAAACCAGGAAGAAGGGGGTAACTATTTTGAATTCACTTAATTATTCATTGAAAAATGGAGCTAAGATTTTGAGTTGGCACTACAATTTCCCATAATCCTAACAGTAAGCTCGACTCTGTTCTGAATTTTCAGGGCATTCAACTTTGTGAGAGATTTTGAGTTGCTTTAGTTAGCATCAGCAGCATTCGCCATGCTTACTCTCTTTTCAGCTTAAGCTATCCATCTTGAACTTGTAAAGGCTAAGCAATGTATATACCAAAGACAATCTCCAAATACCAGAAGAACCACTCCACTTTTTAGCTCCCTCGCTTACTAGATATTGTTACAGCACGCAGAAATATGGGTAAGGTTCTCTCTCACTCTCAGTCATTTATGCTACATAGCTGCTTATGTTGGTAAAGTAATCCAAATTATAATGTTTGTAATTACATTTTTTTGAAACTTGGGTATTTGCAGGTTGATGGTCTGTTCAGGACAAATATACCAGGAACATTTGCAATTGGAGATGTTGTAGCATTCCCTTTGAAGCTAGGTCTCCTATATTCTTACCATGCAGAAAAATACGACTTAGTCTTGAAC